ATGCGAGGATGTGCGTTTTTTCTTTTTTTTTCCGATTTAGCTTAGGAGAATTTTATAATTTAGTAATTAAAATCTTTGATAGGCTTTAGAAATTGCAGCTAATTGAATTTAATGGGAAGATGAATTTCAATTTTATTTGATTACAGAGACCCCTGGCATAGGTATTTATGGAAAAAACTGTACAAAAATATGCTGTGTGGGCTAAGATGGCATAATAAAATTAACGGTAATCGGATTTCTCCGTCATGAATTTCGCTCTAATTTCACTATAATTTTCCATTAGATAGCTGGTTTACAAATATTTGCTCATCTGCGATGGGAAAAAGCTATCTGTCTAAAACGATTATGGAAAGAGCCTTCAGAAAGGTGCCTTTTTTCTGTTTGCCTTTTAAAATCCAGATTGCGAGGGCTCACAATTAGGCATATTGCATTATGAATGTCTGCATCCGGGGAGAAATGTTAAAAATATTATGATCAAAAGACAAGAGGACAAAAAGCTGATAGAAAAATGCTAGAAGTTTTAGGTCAGTTTGGAAAGTGGACGTCTGAAATAAAAGTGGAGTACAATGTAAAATGGCATAAATATTTGTAATGTACTATTCTAAAAGCTGTGTGTTTGAAAGAATTTATGTACTGACATATTTTTACGAGGAAAATTGCTTCACATGCTGCGCCAGTTCTGCAGAAGATAAGTGGTGCCTTTGGGAGATTAAATGAACTGAACGCTTTTGCTAACCAAAATTTTGCGACAAATCAATAGAATCTGAACCTGAATGAGGCTACTTTCAGAAATATCAAACATGGCTACGTTAAATTCCTACAGGTCTTAAGCTTGCCACCTGTGTTAGCATGCATTTACAGTAGTTGTGAATATTTACCTCTTAGGAAAAACAGGACTTTTTGCTTGTTTAAAAAAAAATGCAAATGACAAATGTCAAAGCATGCAACTGTTAATGTAACCTACAGCCTTTGGTGCGGTTTCTTAGTTCCCCAAAACTTGGAGAGCCTACGTGTTTATTTAGCATCTAATTTCCTAAAGGTTTTGCAAGTTTTGTCTCCAGGCCTGAAGAAACACGTGGAGACAACGAGAGACTTGAGCAGACAAACAAGAAAACAAACAAACGAATAAAAAGGAGCGTGCAGGAGAAGCGGACCCTGGAGAAAGGCAGGGTAGCTATTGTGAGGATGGGCCGCAGTCATTCTGCCTTGATCCTGAGTCTTTTGTAAGACCGCCCCATGTCCCCTCATCTCCTCTCCAGAAGCCCCCCCCTTCCTCTCCCCAACATGCTCTGCCCTGCTGCCAGAGACAGCAAGAGAGTTCAAACACAATCTAACTCTCTCCAAAGGTCAGATTTCTCACTCGGCAGGTCCCCCGGCCTTTCGCACAAAAGCCAGTGAATTCACATCTTTCAACTCAGCCCTCGCCTTTGTCCCTCTGGAACGGAGCACTCCGGCAGACCAGCACCCCCTGGAGTGCAAGGCAGGGGACTGCTCACCGTCTGCCCCGGCTTTCCCTTTGACTGCTGCCCCCCAGTACCCCTCCCCGAATGCCCCCTGCACCCTCCCTCCCTTCGCTGCTGCAGTCGGCCTTCTTTAACTTGCAATGCCTCTCAACGAAACACCTTTCTTTTTAAAAAAATAATGCAACTCCCCCCTCCCCACCAAAGAACAATTGCACTTCCTCCTGCGCTCTGTACATCAGCCCTTGCTTGGATGAAGTGCACTATGTAAGTGCAGTGAGTTATTGTTGTCGTTTCTCATGTCTTTCGTCGTGAGTTACAGTAAGTGCAGTGCTGCCGAAGCAACAATTTCTGTTGCCGCGTGGAGAGAACATGAAAAAGTTTTAAAAGTGCTACATTTGTTCCGGACGTGTTAATTAGGATGTGCTACAGTCCTGTTAAACCTGCTGTCCTGTCCTCGAAATTTTCCCTCATCAATCTGTAATTTCTTTGACAGTTGGGTGTTGCAGAATAAAATGATGATTGTTCCAGTTGTGTTCTAAACTTATGTGCCATGCCTCAAAGTCTTTTTTTAACAGGGAATTGGAAAGGATTTGGAAAAAGCTGCAAATTATGGACTCCTACCAGTCCATATGAGTAAAAATTATATACAAGTGCATGCACACATTCATAGGAAAGCAGTGAAACCTGTGAGAAAGGTTTATGGAAAAAGTGTGGAATCACTGTTGTAGGTTGGTTTTATGGCTTTAAAACTGTGAATTTATATAACTACACACCTACTGTATTGCATTACATAGCATCATATTCAAACCATACAGTATATAAAATACAGCCTTGCACCATAATAACATAATCAGACTATTGTGTGTTTTTTTTTGCCAGGGTTCATTAGTTCAGGTTGTATTTCATACAAATCTCTTTTTGAGTTTTTGCTTCAAGAAGCCTAATTAGTTGCAGAAATTATTGTACACAAACAATTTTTGAGCTTTTAAGGCCTTTTCAAGGCTTCCTGTTTTGCTAGTCCCTGGAGCTCCACACAACAGATGTCTCATCTCCAGCTGAGCTCCTAAAATACACATCTTATTTGCCCAACTAATACATTTGTAGTCGTAGCTCCCCTAATTGGTACTTTATACAACACTGTATTTAGGCCTGTTTGAACAGTTCTGAAAACAGTTCTAAATTACGTTAAATTAAGCGATATTTGTGCACTGCTGTACCTTGCATTTTGTAGTCTGCTTTGTTTGCAATTTAAAAATGAAAGAGGTGGATTAGAAAAGGAAATACTGGTGTAAAAGCCTCAAAAACGCTGTTGATCCACTAAATGTGTTCTTGTACAATACATTCTGTTTAGTGCTGTGCTTAAGAGGCTTTCACATAAAAAGGGACGTTCTTGTGAGGGTGTGTCAACGGAAAACAAAAATCAGTTATGGCATTTTGGCTGATTTTGCTTCAAAGGTGCTGTACTCCCCATGCTCTTTTGATGAGAAGGTTTGTCGGTGGAGTATTAAAAGTCACCGAGAGGTAATCTGGAGGTAGGGTTCGTTTGATGTCTTCAGGGCTTTATTAAGAGCAGAAAGACAACCTGATCTCAGAACAACGAGTTAACAGGGAGTCGAACTGACTACTCTTCCACTCACTGGCCTGTGTTGCCCACTTCTCAGTCCCTTTGCTACTTATTCACAGGCTCCGTTTCTGTGTCTGGACGGGTGAAATACGGACTCTGTTGTAGTAGCAGCTCTTCCGTGCTCAACCTTTCTTTACTTTTTGCATATATCAAATAGGAGGAGACGTTCATAGTGTTGTTCAAGCGTGAGTCATGATCAAAATTGCCAAATCAACCAGAAACCTGTTTTCTTTTCTGAATGTATACAGTACTTTTTTCAGTAAAGGATTAGGCTTTGTTATGCCATTAATGTAGTTCGCCAAACAGAGCATTTCCGTGTTTCGATGCAGGGAGTGTGTTATTGTTGTTTTATTACAGTAACCTAGGACTTTGAACTTTGTAAATTATATTGCTAGCAGATTACTATTAATACAAATAAAATCCCCTGAGCACTGGCTTTACTTCCACATCTCCTGTTTTGTTATGGATATTATATATGGAAGAAATATGTGCTTAGTGTGTGTCCCTTATTAATTGTTTATATGAATAGATAAATACAAAATATGTACAAGTATGTGAACCTTAGAAGCATTTTTGCATTTTGCTGTGGAAGAAACTGCCAGGCAAATAAGGCGTTTAACTTATAAAGTATTCATTGTCACCTGGTAACGGATTGCAGTTTATCATTTCACCTGAAATTACAATGGAAAGCGATACCTTATCAGAAAGAGAGAGGGAGCAACTAAGAGAGGTAGAGGAGGGAGAAAGAGAGGGAGAGGGAGATGGTGGTTGGTGTGGAGGGGTGGGGGGAGGTGTTTCTCAACTCCAGGAATGCACTTTTCTTTCTGATAATTAACTGCTGCTGGATCGGATTACGAATTTGAAGCCAGTCAGGTTTCTAATCAATATTTCCCTCTTCTTTCCCTTTAAAAAAAAAAAGTCATAAAAATGGTTTCAAAGGTAGGCACCGCCCGATCAAAGTATTTTTAAAATATAATAACAGTCTGGAGGCCTTTTCTCCTGGCTCCTTCCTTCCATAAACCTGCCTTGTAGAAAAAGATTCTTTTCTTTTTTATAGAAAGAAATGCATAAATATGTAATGAAAGGACTCTGAACATTCCCATTACTCTGGGAGATTTGGGAAGTTCTAATTTAAGATCCATATTAAAACCCACATAAATTAGATTATACTCTACCAATGAGAAAATTATGTATTTTGAAAAAAGTAAAATATTGTTCTCAGGATATGTTTGCCTTTGACTGTTTTGTGTTATTTTTTTAAAACCTTCTTCGCGTCCAGTCCTCTACAGATTGTCTATTTTTTCACACCTTTCCTTTCTCATTTAAAAAAAAAAACACACTTTGCCTTTGTGTATTTTAATACTGTTGTATTTCAAAATGTAAGTTTTCCATGTTAATCTGTGAAAAGGGCCGTGGAAGGCAGACCAGCAAAATTAAGGCTTTTCATCTTGTTTTTCTGAAACTGCAGTTTGGCAGCATAATTTGGAAACATTTTTTTTTTCTGTTACATTTTGATTCCTTCACTAGTGAACAATTTATGTAAAAAAACTCAAGGTTTCTTCCTGCTCATTCCTGAATGTGGTGAAAATGTTTTCTGTCCAATGTGTTGTACACAGTCACAGCGTTTCGAAACTTCAGATTAATTCCTTTTTGTGTGCCACACAACACAAGACAAATACAGGAGAATCAAACAGTGCAACTCCCTGTCTGCCTTTTATGTATTTTGTTATTTGTTCCAGAATTATGGCTTTTTAAAAAATGCCGTTTTCAGTGCCCCCCCACCCCCCCTCCCTTTTTTAATAGAGCGAATGATGGCTCCACCCCATGAGAGTTGAAAGGCTAGTAGACCACAGAGATAGAAAAGGCCAGCCCACTATGGGAAAAACTGCCAGGGCTTCTCCTCTGCTGTAATTTCCTATCTGCTTGTTCTGAGAACATCACCAACAGCTTAGCGTGTGTGTATGTACGAGAGAGGGAGGGAGAGAGAGCGAGAGAAAGAGAGGGACTGCAAGCGAGGGGCAGGCTCAGCTTTCTTTCACCTGCCCCCCATGAAACCACAAGAAGGAGGGGCTAAACCTGCAGCTGCCAATCATCTTCATTCATGGCAGCCGGCATTATCTCTCTGTGCAAACTATTGACAGATTACATGTCAAAGAGTTTAGTACATTAGTGAAGGAAGTTTTTGTTTTGCTTTTGTTATTTTATTTTGTTGTTTTGCCTTTTTGTTTTTACCTGCTTCTCCTCCTTTTTGCTCACTTCATCCTAACCAACAGAGTTGAGTAATATTATGAAAGTTACATGTCTGAGTGGATATAACTTCGAATTCCCTGAATATGGTAAGTGCTCTTTTTATTTTTGATGTGAGTGTGCGTCTGCGTGTGTCTGTGTATGACAGGGCTAACTTTTGTACTTGCTGATGTTTGACAAGTGAAGGTGAGTCGCTATCTTGAAGAGTAATTTTTTGAAGCTGTTCTGTAACTGTAACTTGTGAGCAGAGCCTTACTGAACCTATAGCCTGTGAGTGACGGCATGCAGGGACTAATACAATATTAAGTGCGATCAGTCTCTTTTCAAGTGCTGATGTCGCCCTGCCTGTGCTGTGAATGAAAGGCACAGAAAGGGATTCCCAAAACTAGATGAATTTTCTCCTGTTATGGCCAAGTTTATCTCATCCGTTTCAGTGAATTGATAAAGCTGACACTCACATTTTGACTGAAGAGGAGGTGAGGGAAGGAACGGGATTTTTCTTCTGTTTTTTTTTTTAGAAAGCGTGAGACTGTAAGTGAATGTTTTGGTTACGTGAGCCATGGTTTTGGTAACTGTGCTGTAAATTAGAGCTGAAAGGTGCCTGTCTGTGTGTTGTTGGGGGGGGGCATGGAGCTGTCATGAAAGAGCAGAGGGAGCAGCTCATGGCCTTAGGGACTGTCACCAGGGGGAACGCAGCAAACGCAAAAAGTGCCGTTAGTGCAGCCGCGCTCCGGTTCAACGGGCATTTACTCCTTTTAATTCCACCTGTTTCTCCTGTTTCATCTGTACTTTCGCAAAGTTACTACTGTCATAGTCCGGTCCTGCGATTTGTTTTAAAACACCAAAAAGACAAATTGGATTAGGAGATGTCAGGAGGCAGCCCAAATCTAGCTGAGCTTAAGGTTTTCCCCCCAGATGGACTATTTGTTGCTTGGAGTCCAAGTGGAAAGTGAACTGGCAGAAAGGGGGAGAGAGTGTGTTGTTCGGGGGCCTGCGTGCCGTGTTACCAGTTCGCCAGAGCCCTCTTAGCTGTGTGCCGCTGGGAGCTTTGGGTTTTCTGAAGTTGAAATTGCCTGGGTTATCAGCAGGTTCTTTCTGCTGCTCTGCAGTCGCCCAGCTAGTTGTGTGACTTGTCTAGAGACAGCTGGCGCGGCAGGGCTCGGGCCGATTTAAAACGGTTCGTTTTGTCTGAGGAGATGAATTCCTCCCGTGTAAGTGACTACTGTAGTACTCCAGGAAATGTCTCTGTCACCAAGGTAATAGTCTGTTTCATAACCCTGAGTATTTTTTAAAATTCTTCCATGAGTCGAATGCCACCGATAAGTGGTTTATTTTGAATTAATCTAGGCTTGGATAATAAAAAAAAATGTTTCTCTGTAAATTTTTGTATTTTCAGCTTTTTATTCCTGAAAAATGTTCATTAGTAAAGGTTAAGTGCCTCTTGTTTATGAGAGGATTTTCTGTAGTGGATTATTGACAGAACCTGCCTCTCCCTGTTCACTGGCGTTTCCTCAGTGACTGCGGAGAGCCTGTTATTTTTTTACCAAGTGTTCGTAATGCACCTAACGTTTTTGTTTTCTTTTTTCGATTGGCCTCTTCAAACTCCTGGTTATTTCTGTAGCCTTGGGAATGGTAAAAGTATTCTTCAACATAATTTCAAGTGCTAACACAACAAGCTGAAAGTGACAATTAAAAACGTCCTGGTTGGTATCGAGGAATACAGAATTTAGAATAGCTGAAGAAAGAGAAGAACACTCGTTGTCTTTTTAAGGTCAGTCAGATAAAGTTTACAGTACTTTACCAAAAAAAGAGAATTTTGTTATTTTAAGTTATTGAGTTAAAGGCCAGATGTTTATTTTTTATTGACCTTGGTTATCTTATTCTTTTTATTTAAAAAAAACGTAGTACTAATCTAAAAATGTGAAACTGGCTCTGATGTAAATACACCTTGGGCTGCGATGTTTTCTGGAGAAGTGTAGAATAACGTCTTTATATTTTAAATGGCAAATGCAACGTTCTTTACAGATCATAACAGGCAGTGATTGTTTCTTCTTCAGAGACTAGGCTGATGTAGCTGTGGCTCCTTTAATCACCTTTACTGCACTCCTGAAAAATGGAGTCAAATGAACAGGAAAAACAATCCAAAGTCTGTAGCCTTTAATAACCTTTACCACAATTTAGCAATAACCGAATCAATTTGATGTCTTAAGCAATAAAAAATGCTGTTGCCATCCTAATTCTCCTGCTCCTTAGATGACAGTAAATTTACATTTTTTAATTAAACTAGCCGGAATTTTTATGAGGGGGCTGGGTTATGCTAATAGGAATGTTGTGTACTGTAGATTAAGAGAGTTTCGAAATAAATTTAGCAGGAGCCATTAAAAAAATGTAGCCAATGTCTCTAACTCCCTTTGTGCCAATTTCTCCAGGGGAATTCTTTGGTTCCTGGACTTGTCAAGGATGACTGATTTTTGGCAATGAGGAGATTAGTATCATAATGTCAACTGATGCAAATAATTTATATGCTCATATATATTTTATACATCGTCAATTCGCTGCAGAAAACAGGACGAAGGAAATTTTTTGTACAATTGACATCACATGCCCAGACTAAAACTTAAATCCAATTATGGTGTCACAGACAATAATGATTTTGTCAAAATTATAAAAAGAAACATTAAACTTTTTTTTAAATAAATGACAACCTGAGATGGAATTGTGTCTCAATTTTACAATTTTCACCTCATAGGCAGGATCTCAGCATTGTTTTTTTACCAAAACAAAACTGATGAAAAAATAATTCCTAATAAGCGTATTCTTAAAAATAAGGTTGTAACATTCAAAATAGCATTGTTAACTATTAGAAAGATCATGTCTAGAAGCAACAGTGCTATTTAAAAATTCTATTTTTACTGAGTGTTTCCAGTTAATTAGCAAACTCATAATATTTCAAGAGTTGAATATGTCCAGGTATATATAAGTCGGTGTAGAGTAAAATTTAACCTTTAAAATTAGTGTGTGAAAACTGTGGTTTAAATGTACAGTACATCGAGCAATAGTGGGAATTAAATCACTTAAGTTTAAGTTGTGTATTGAGATGCTGGTTCATTTTGTGCACTTTTGTGGTAGGTTCTCATCTGTAATTTTTTAATTTTACTTATTTTGAAGATTTACGAGTGGGCACCGAATTGTTACATTTTAACAAAATACTACTAATTGGAAACAGATATGAGACATTCATCTACTTATTTTAAAGTGCAGTATGTGTCATTAATTTTGGTTTTTAGTGGGGATGTCATGAAGCTGTGCTTGAAAGTAAAGAAATACAGGTGCTGTGCAGTGGCTTGCAGGGTCACAGAGAGGTTCACACTCCACAACATGACGTAAGCTGCGAAAAATATTCTTGTTAATTTCCTTTAATAAGAAAAAACAGCCTTTGAAATGCCCCGTTACACCACAGCCGAAACCAAGCGTACCACAGTCAGCTCTCTGTGCCGAGGTCGGACTTCCCAGCGGCCCGTCCCGTCGGGGCGAAGCCGAAGAGAGGGCACATCCAGACAGGGGGTCCGTCCGGAGGGTGGAGGGAACTCAGACGGGCCGGGTCGCATCGTAGCCCCCCCCCCTTCCTCCCGAGCATCTGTGCGCTCGTCCAACAGTGAGATCATAATCAGAGCCTCGCAGCGCCCCGTCAGCAGCCCAGCTAACGCTCAGGAATGAGCAGCGTACTCCGCAGGGAGAAACGGGTCGCACCTTAGGGCTTGACGAGTTTTATTAGGGAAATTAACTGACTCACTTTTTTCATATGCTAAATATGTGGAATTCCTAAAGCACTGGTCGGGTGTAAACTCCGAATAATCAAACTGAATGTGCGGCCGCCCGGCAGAGCTGGCTGATGCGCACACTCCCCGAGAAGAGGGGTCATGCAGCGATGCTCAGAGGTGTGTCACAGCTCTGTACCGTGCAGTGGGCGCCGGCGTGAGAGGAGTGGACAAACACAATGCCAGGGAGTTAGAGGGGAAGAAAGAAAAGGTTAAATTTAATAAACCTTGCCTCCTCTCAGCAGTGGGGGGATAATTACATTAGTGGAATTTAGCATCCATTCTAATTATCTAGATAAGAACGGAATTAAAAGTGTGACAAAAGTAATATATTACATTGTCAAATCCTCCTCTTTATTTTAAAACCATCCCCATATTAAATAAATGAATAAATAAGTAAATTGAAGTGCGTATGCTATCTGTCTACTGCTGTATGTATTTTTTTTGCAGGGGGAGGGTCAAAATAAAAAAAAAAATCTTACGTCTACGATTATAAAGAAACGAAAAAGAGGAATAAAGAAGCAATTAGCGCACTGTAAAACGTCTTGTTTGTGCGGCCCGAGCCTCCCGTGATGCCTGCCTAGAGTGAATTTGCATGCTTCAGTTATTGAGGCGCAGTTATTAGGACGTCTGAAAGGAAGATTAGGCAGCAGCAAAATGCAGCGGTTAATCCTTTTAAATGTGCCGGGGGTCTTGAGGTGCGCCACCCATTGACAGGTTAGCCTGGAAGGGAACCGGAAATGCCTTCTCGTGAGCCTCAAGTGGACGCGCCACTCCCACCTTGAGCGCCACGGGCCTGGGCAGCTCGGCTTCAACCGTGTGTCGCCGGGCCGGTCCAGGCTCAGCAGAATCGGGGCGCGCACAGGAGGAAGCCCTGCCGTGCAGTAATGGACCTGGCACTGTGAAGGATCTCTCCGGTCGGTCACGTGTGGCAGGGAAGGCGTGGAGGAGGAGTGTTGCCCTGTACGGCGCTGGGGGTAGACAACCACCGAAAAGCGTCTGAGATCAACCAGAAGCGCTTCAGTATTTCAATATAATACGCTGACCTTGAAGTTGAAAAAGTACAAGAAATGTGGTTCTTTTTCTTCTTGTGTACTACTTAGGCTTTAAAAATCTCTTGTTTTAGTCGAATAACTCCCCCCACCCATCTGCCTCCCTTTTGATAAACAGCCGAGATCCCAGAAAAAACTCAATCCACAATCTTTTAGGATCAAAATGAAATTGGTTATGTTATTTTTTTTCCCTTGCTTTTTAAACCAAAAATGAAAACC